GCAAACAAAAATGTTTCTCTAGCAGAGGAAAACGTTAAAACATCCCACCCCCGCATAGCTAGTGTTTCCCCATTTTGCTGAAATAAAGTGAGATGGTCTTTGTAGCCATCTTGCAGTTTCTGAAGTCAATTTGAGGAATGCTTGCCCCCACTCAAAAATTTCAATTGTGAGATGCTTAGGGGATTTAAGGGGGTTTCTTACATGAACATTCAGTTTCCAGTCACCCCACTGCATTTCGAAAGGATAAAGATCTGGGCTTTGACTCTGCCCAAGACTTTTCCTGTTTTAGTTTCAGCCAGTCCTTGGTGGATTTGCTGGTATGCTTTGGGTCTTTGTCAGGTTACACGGTTCAGCTTTAATCTTTCACAGAAATTCTCAAATATTCCTCAAGCATTCTCATAGACACCATAGAACTTATTGTGGATTATACGATGGTGAATTGGTCAGGTCCTGCTGCAGCAGCAAGGCATCCCCGCTTCATGACACTCCCACCTCGCTACACAGTTGGTATGAGGTTCTTATCCTGGAATGTTGCATTTGACTTACACTTGGGAAGGATATTAGCGCTTGAAACATTTTTTTTCATTTTATGTTTTGTTATTTATACCTCAGGGTTTCCCCCAGAAAGCTTGCTAAGCCCGGTGGTGCCAGGGCAGAAAATTTTAAGTTCATAGGAAATGGAAAAATATTACTGGATAATTATGTTAGTGGAAGACAATGATAATAAAGCTTAAACACAAAACTCCTGTCTTAAAAACAACAAATCAAAAAATACAATTAAAATAAATATCAATTGGTTGCACATTTTTTCAATCCTAATTAAGTAATCAGCCAGTGGATCTTAAGGCATAAAGCTGACCACATTAATGAACTGAGCAGCAGCTTAGGGATCTTCAGGGCCCCCCATAAATGTTAAGATTTTAACACAGACTGATCTGGAATTGTAATGTGATTATCAAGATCTCAATGTTCTTAAATTTCAATGAATGTTTCAGCATCGAGAAAGTAAAATTTAAATTGTTTAACATTTAAATTCAAGGTTTTAACAAGCTAGCAAGTTCACTTTGTAAAAGGGGAAAGAACAATCTTCATAGATTATTTTGTTACGTAGTTTGTGCTCTGTTTGTCCACAAATACGTTTCTGAATGGATATCTGTCATCTCAACAAATTACAATTGTCACTGATTGCTTTTGAGCTTGGCCGATTAAACTACTGAGAGACAAATCTCAGCACGTTTCCTCTCTTAGGATGCAGGGAACTAATTGCTTTAATCGTATTTACAGAAAGACATACAGTCATGGGTAAATTATTGTACAATAAGGGGAGAAATGGTTAAATGCAATTGTTCATCCCAGTTTTCATGGTCCAAGATGTCTCTCAGGCAGAATATTTGCTTAACACTTAATTAGTAGTAACCTAGCAAGTCAAAAGATGAGAACATTTTGCCAGGAAGTATTTTAACAAATAAGTTAAATAGTCAAAAACAACTCTTTCAGCATCAAGACTACATATTATACATTTCATAGTCTAAATTTCAGAGAACCACTGAGTTCAAAACATTCCCATGCTTCTCACAGTGGGTTGGTATACTGATCAGTATATATTTAAAGCCACAAACCAGTCCTTAGCAACTAGTTCTCCTTTACAGGGCTGGGGAGCAGCAGCAACACTGTCATTATCTAAACACTGGTTACAGATGACACTCCATAGCATCACACGGCTCAGTCAGTATGTAGCAACCAGCAATCAGCAACAACAAAAATACAGCATGGGAAAAATCAATGCCAAAATGTTACCAGCCTTCCTGCAGATGTCTCACACTGCTTGCCTCTTTGTTCTAGCCTATGTGACATTGAGGATCTAACACTCATTGGCTGCCAGCTGCTTTCAAAGACCCACAGACGCCTCTCTCTTTAAGAGCCGATGAGAGAGAGACACACAGAGATGAAAAATGTCATCCCCTGAAAGACAAAAAGATAAGTCATCAAGACTGTAATGATGGGGCGGGACAGGGAGGGGGCAGCGCAAGCAGGAGACGAATGACTATGATGAAAGTCAATCTTCCATTTTTGGTAAACAGTGACAAAAAAATCTGTTTCCCAAACTGATTACGCTTTCCGCAGTCGAATCATCACGCTCATTCTAAAAGCATCCATCGGTTTACTTTATTCCCTGCGAATGTGTTTTTCATTTTTTAAAGCGGTGGGCTTATAATGCTGCAATGGGCCAGTAAACATTGCTTCAACACAGTGATAACAAACAGCTTACTCTTAACTCAACAGCTTTCTTCTGTGGGACCTCTCCGGGGGGGAATTACTTAGAAATAAGGGGGCTATCAACAATGCTTTATGAGGCGTATCACTGTGGAAGCAATATCTGGAAATTGTTTCCCGTCACTTACGGAACATAATTAACCAAAGACTGGGGTATGATGTGGTGATGTTGAATATTTTCTACTTTTATATTTTTGCTACAAGTTACTGTGATTAAAAAAAAGTTAATCAAAGCAAGTAAAACAAATAAAAACTCTAAATCATGAATCTTAACATGTTAAAAGTGTTTTATTATGGACACTTTGTGACGGTAAAGGAAAAAGTTAACGGCCTCGTGCAGTAATAGTTTCCATATTCGGGACTGAGCAGTCCAGTGGCTATTTAAATAGTTTAACTGGAAATCCCTTTCAGAGTTGAGGAGCAGTCGTCTCACATCTTCCTCCCAGCCAAGTCTGAATCTGGCTGATGCAGTTGACATGTGACCTTGAATCAGACTCAGTCAATACATTAAGTTGATCAAGCAATGGTGTCACAGTGGGAAATACCCTTCTGCAGATGTCGGGGATTATCTACACTGTTGACTTGGCTCACAATCTGAAAGCATAAAATTAAACCTTCCATTTTTTACAAGGTGTTTATTGTGCCAGACTACAACCAATGAATAACTGGTGTTATTTCTGACTAAGAGCCAAGTAGCAAGAACAGAAAACATTTTTTCCTTCAATTCTCTAATTATATAAGTTCTCATAGTAACAAAACTTTTTTTTTTTTTTTACATAAAAGAAAGTGTTGACACTAAACTTACTGATTGATGCTGGCTTTTGAAAGGACTTCTTCAATGTGGCCAGTCAAGTAAACTAGGCAATTCTTCTGCTAGTTATTACCCCTTGCAACTGGTACTTGTGATGATATAACAACGTGGAAGAACAGTCTCATCACATTAGATGATGCACTTAGTCAGCATTTATATTAAATTGTAGGGCTGGATAAAATGACTGAAAAACTTACAATGATATGAGCATTTTACATTAGTCTGCATCGATAATTATTTGTTTTTTGTTTTAAATATTCAAAATACTACTGTCAAACTAGTGACGTGACAAGAGCAGAACAAAAAAATGGCACAAAGTTATGCTCAAAAATGTTATTTTGAAAACTAGCCTTTTTTTTTTCTTTGCTCAGGTCTATAAATAATTTTAAAAAATGATAAAGATACCTGTTATTTTAGCAGCTTTGGGAATATTTGTTGTGTTGTCATTCCAAAGAAAATTAATTAAATTATGTAATTATGTGATTTTTTTTTTACAAAAGAAAATTGCATAAATAAGGTGATACCACAAAGCCATGATATTTTTACTTAGGGTTATCATTCTATGAGAATCTCTGTACAGATCGTGCCTATCCTCACGAGACCTCACGAGCTAGCTACTGTCTGGTAGCTAGCTAGCTAGCTAGCTCATTCCTGGAAACCAGGCAAGTTTGATGCAAGGTAATAATATTTTTCTCTTTGCAAACTGTCTTAAAAGACTGTAACATGCTCACTAGAACAGCTTGTGTACTACACTTAAAAAACTTTCAAGTTGTAAAGTGTGCAAATAAACGCTTTCACTCTAGCTATAGCTACTTTATGCAAGATAACTATATTTGGTTTTGAGGCAAGAGTTAGAGTCTTCCGACTATCCCACAAATTTTCAACTTGTAGGGGCCGTTGTGTTCATTTTTCCAAATTAAAATGCACAAATCTCAGCCTAAAAACAGGTTCAAGTTCGTTCTTTTCTATTAATATAGCAAAACATGCTGAAAAAGTAAAATTTCCTAATTTTACTGTGATGGGAATTGCTATAAAAACTTTCAAAACCCCTTCTTTATAAAGTAGTTGTGTGCAAGTGAATGTCCGAAAGGTTCACTTTTCTACTCTGTTCGTGTGATGGATATTGTAGCTGCAGAAACCTGCTGTAAACTGATGTGTTATTTGAAGAGCCAGAAAGCACCTCGCTGAATTCCAAAGGAGGCAAAACTGCAATCGTACAACCTGCAAAAAGGGGGGGCTTGTGACTGACATCAGACCATGGATGACACAGTGAGAAACAATATATCTGCACAGTCACACCACTGGGCTAAGTGACTGTCTGGTAGCTTACAATGTTGGCCTCCCTGCCATATCAGAACATATTGAAGAAGAGGTCAGATTAGAGAGTATCTTCTAGAAGAGAACCTCAGTAAGAAACTCTCAAAGAGACACAGAAAGCAAGGCACAACATCTGTGCCTTGTGTTAAGCGTAAAAAAGATTTTGCAGGGCTTTTTTTTTTTTTTTAATGAGGGATCAAACAAACTTATTTCCTATGGTGCCTCTGCTCTGTCTCAATAACTTTTCAAAGCAGCGTTTCATCTACAGAGCCTGAAGCCATATCTCCTCTACTTTACAGTACCATGTGACATCAAATGAGTGTGACAACAGATTTAAGAGGAATAAAGATGGATTCTTTCCTTGTACTCTCATGCAAACAATAAATAGGAAAATACTTTACATTTCTTCCGTTTCCCTTTGAATATGATGCTCACATTAGTAGGTTTTTTCTATTATTATTATTATTTTTTTTTTAACTAGATACAAAGTTCGTTTGTATCTAATTTGAGTCAATTTTTTTGTATAAATGGGAAAATAACCCACATATAATGAAATGCAGCTTGGCTTCCAAAATGAAAGCATTTTGAAGGCGCTTACCTGACATTTCAAACTGTGGGACACCATCCTGGCTGAATCCCTTTCCGCCGTAAAACCGCTGAATGTCCGAACAAGTCCGGGCTTTGCTGGACCCTTTGTCCCCAAAGGCTGGCGCTGTGAGAGAGCACAGCACCAGAGCCGCCAGGATGAAGAAATCCATTCCTGCTGACCAGTGTGGCTTTGGACTTGGTCTGGAGGAAATCCAAGCGACAACTAAGCGACTTAGTATAAAGCTGAAAGTACAACGGATTCGGGGCTGGTGCTGTGGTGCGTAAAATATCCTCCACCTTCTTTCTCCCTTATACTCTTTCAGTGCGTCTGCAGCTTCTGTGGCTGTTCTGTGCGCGCTACTGCGCGGCACAGGAGCAATTCCTCTCAGCCCAGATGTCCCGTCTCTTCTTTAATCCACTTAAGCCAGCGCAGCCAGGGCAGACGCTTATTATTTTCTCCCCCGCAAAAAATATGGCAAATGTTCTTTTGCTGAAGGGTTATTCTGTAGAGATCCCCGGTCTCACTCAGCTACCCGTGGAGCTTTTTTGGCTGACCTAAAGAGAGGCAAGCAAGAGATGCAAGAATTAGGTTACCCGGCTGAAATACGCTATTTTAAGTCACGCCAGAAATAAGCGCTGCACTGGTGCAGCGCTGGCTGTGTTGACTCACGCCTGCCCGGCTTTAACGTGAGGAATCCGAGTGCAGAGGTGCACACACCGGCAGATACCGCAGCTCAGGCTCTTCTGGACGATGATGTGCCAGCGCTGCCACTCTGTGGAAACGGGAGGGAGGCGGGGAGAAGCAGGCAGACAGAAAGAGGAGGATGAAAGGGAAGGGAAGCAGAGCTTTAAAGCAACTCCGGCTATTTCTTGTTGCTTTCTGACACAGTCATGCTTATTTGGTTTGGATTTTATTTTATTTTTATTTTTTTATCTAAATTTTAAGCATACCACGCCTCAATAGTTTACAAAGTATCTTCTCGTTATCGTGGCACACTGATTCGTATAAGAGTGTAAACATGCCTGGTTCCCAGCAGAGGAAAATGCCGTGTGGGTCTCGTCACGTCAGGAATGTGTGCTGGCTGGACTTGCTCACCATCAGCCAGGTGTCACACATGAACTGTAGGCTGGTCCCTTTCAGTTCGCAGTACTGGATACCCTCCTCTGAGAGTGTCTGTTGAGTGGAAGGCATCACTCTACAAGACGCAATTCATGTCCAACAAATCAGCATCTGTTCTAGGCTGCTTCCAGGTTACCTGTCACCAAATGAATGCCTTCGTTATCCACAGTTTCTTTATGTTTGCCTCCTAAATCTGGGTAAACACCACAATGTGGACAATATTGCCTCTCTACTAATTTTAAATTCCTTAGATGTCAAAGAAAAAAAAAGAAAAAAAACACCCTAAAACCAACTCAGTTGCTTTATTTAAACTTAAATGTTGTGTGTGGTTGTGTGTTTTTCATTGCCGGTTTTGGCTGTGTGGTGAAATTGCTTATTTATCTGTTTATCTGTCCGTCCATCCATCTATCTATCAATCCTGCAGAAAGGAAATCAGATCACCTTTATAGTTGCAGTTGTTTTTAAGCTACAGAGCAACATTTATTTTGTTATGAACTATTTTGATTGATCTGAACGCTAAGTCAGACCAGTAAGTTCAATTGTGTTTGTTAGGTGAACATAAAAATCATCCAGGTGTCAGGTCCCTCTGTGGTTCCCTGTGCAGAAATCTGCAACCTGACCTGTGTGCACCCTGTCTTTAAATGCCTTTGACAATCTATTATTTTCAATAGAAATATTATTATTTCAAATTAATGATTGTTTAGTAATCCAGACTGAGTTATTTCCTTGCACCTGACATGTGTTCAAACCAATAACCCGGTTTGTAAGTTAACTCAGATTGTGTATTTTGACCCAGTTGGTTTTGGTGTGCAGCTTCATCATACTCGCAGGAATTTCACACACAGTTTGCCTTTATAACACTGTTAATAGGAGCATTAACTTCAGTTTATTTGTGCAAGTAAATCTAGTGTGACTCTGTGAACTTATGACATAGGTTTATGACAGCAGCACACATGCCTTTCCCTCAGTTTAAAATGTTATACTGTTATTCCACTCACTGGGAGTGTGAAATTTGATTAGTCTGTTTTGAATGGCATCACCTTTTTACGGAAAAAAAAAAATAGTAAAGATTGCTTTTTTTAAGTAAGATCCCACTAGTATGGTAGGTTAGGGGGTGGGGAGAGGACGGAGTGCTGAACTTGGAATGAAGGACAGTCATGAAGAGAGAAAAGAATGACAGTCAAGAAGAAAACCTTTTTGGTAAACCGAGCCATTTCCTGTCCTCAAATCCTTCCATTTCCAGAGTCAGATATTGTTTACAAATACATTTAAAAATGCTACACTATAATTAGCCTTTTCCTCTTGACTGCTGGCTCCAAATAACAAGGAGAGTAACTCGCATATCAGTAGCTGACAAATGGCCACTCTTGCATCCTATTATTACAGCTCTGAAATGAACGAATGGATTAAACATTCATTTGGGAATGTCAAGTGTCTTCATCATTTGCGGCCTCTGTTTGTGAGTGAGCGTGTGTTTTTGTGTGTGTGATGGAGGAGCGGGGGGAGTTGGGGGAAGCTGGCAATTCCGATATTGAAATATGTAACTGTGACAAAGAACTAACAAAAAAATAAATAATAATAATAATTTGCCTTGCTTTTCTTCCTGCTATGAGAGAAATTGAACCGTATTAAGAACACGTGGCGAGTGGCTACCAGAATAAGTGGACTCAACCTATATGTGTGATAAGACATTACCCTGTACCGCAGATAGATCTGTGCATGCATGACACATGTGCACCTTTATGTTTTTTTCTCAGCAGCATTTGGTTTGTGAAACCTGAGTTTATGTGTCTGACTGTGTTCCACATGTGGTCATAGGTCGGCTCTGCTGTTGAAGGACTGATTGGCCCTCTACTGTCTGGTATGGAGATTATATAATTAATGCTCAATAAAGCCACAGAACAGCCATGTTTTCTTCCGACTGCTTCTCATTGAAGTTTTATTGCCTGTGACCATGAAAGGCTTGCTAATGAGGAGCAGGATGCAGGGGGAAGTCAAGCAGACCAGCAGAATGGTAGCAAAGACAGAGAGGAGTGCTGGGTGAGAGGCCATAAATAAGCAACAGTCAGTTTATTGTACATGTGCAATAATTATGTGGTAAGCATTTTTAGGCCATGGTGTGGTTTCCAGTGAAAATTACATGCATGCTCAGTTCCTATAGCATCATAAGCTCGCAGCGAACGTGTTCAGAGACAAAATGTGATTCAGAAAATACATTATCTGTTCTTATCTTTTAACACAAAATCTATAGTAAAAAAAAAAAATGCATTGTGCTTTATCAGGTCCAAGGACTCTCAAGCATTTTACATTGCAAACAGTCATTCACCCATTTATTCATGTACACATTCACACACTGATGGCAATGAGCTACATTGTAGCTACAGCTGCCCCGGGACAGACTGACAGAAGTGAGGCATCAACATGCAAAGTGGGTGTTGTGTCTTGCCCAAGGTCGCGACTGGGATGAACAGAGTGGGGGTTTGAACTGGCAACCCATCGATTACAGGACAAATCCCGACCTTCTGAGCCACCGACTCCCTTAGCTGTGCAACTTATAAGATGACAAGGAAAGCAGAATGCAATGTTTTCAAAATGTTATTACCAATAAGTGTGGATTGTGTTTGTATTCACCCCCCTTTACTCTGATGTCCTTAAGCAAAAATCCAGTGGAACCAAGTCACCTGGATAAACAAACATGATCTTTATGGGAATGTAGCCCAAAGCAGCCGCTGTTAAAATAAATAAATAAATAAATAAGGAGGCCTTTTTGCAGAGTGGCACAAGTCATGTAGTGGACACAAAAAATATAATCAGTAAAAAGGTGCTCCAAAAACTGAACTTTTTAGTCTATCCAGTAATAACATAGATCATAAATACTCTATTCCTACAGAGAAAATTTATGGTGGCATCATCCTGCTTTGGTGAAGCTATTATTTAGCAAGGTCAGAATTGATGGAAAAGATGGATGGAGTTATAAACATGACTAAATCCACTATGAGTTTCTTAAGGAGCAGGTTCTCCTTCATTCCAGCTAAAATAACATCTCTGATGGACAATATCTTCCACCCCTTGTTCCAGTTCAAGCTGCTAGTGAACTGGAGAGCTGCTTCAGTAACAAACTTCTGCATCCGTTTCAGCAGTTGTTTAGACTTTGTAACCATCGCTGATCCCGACAAAATCAAAGTATTTATATGTCCATGCTGGTGGAACCACCTACTCTTCTTACTCATTTTAAAATAAAACGTCCGCTGTTATTGCACATCATGTTTTTTTTCTCTCTTTTCTTTTTCCCTTTAACCAGATAAACCCTGTTGAGATCTATATCTCATTTTCAAGAGGGACCTGGTCTGCAATACACCACAACCTGGTTCCAAAATAAAACTAATTAATGCATAAAAACTAATTAATACATATTTAATTAGTTTTTCTGTAATTATACTTTATTGTAAATAGTCTATATATATATATTTTTTTTTTATTTTATTTTGTAATGGTCAATGCTCATGCATATTATATACAGTTTAGAAAAAGTGATCCAACTCAGTTGCACATCCTTTGGAGTGTGAGCTTGATATGTCTATTTCTAACAACTGCACAGTATTTTTAGCTAAAGTTTTGTACAGTATATTACTATGATTATTGTTAATCTTGTTTTCATATATTGCTTTTAACAATTTAAGAACTTTTTTTGTTTGCACCTTTATATTTGTTGCTGGTGTTACTCCTGATTTTCCACGTTTGTGGGACAATAAAAGCTGCATCTATTCTATCCTATTCTACTATACTTTGTGTTTATTAGATTGAAAGTGTCTTTTGATTCCGGTGTATTGAAGCAGAGGCGGATGGAAAAGATGCATAACCCCGGCCCTCACTCCCTGGAGTTGGAGACCCCTAGACTAATCTTATTACTGTATGACAGTGTGACTGACAAGTGTTTATGATTTTACATAATATAAATGAAGGCCTCTACTATAGATGTTATCTTTATGATCTATGTTAATGTGATAACATGACACTACAACTGACTGAAGTCCAATATAATTATGCATAAACACTCAAGTACTCAAATTTGCCTTGGTATAGAATATAAAGATAGTCACATTTGTACTTTACAGAGCAAATATTGCACTAAAGTAATGCAGTGTCAACGTGTATTCAAATAAAGAAACAAAGTTCACCTTTTGTGATCTTTTCTATTTGGAAAAAGCACTTTTAGCTCATCTTAGTAAGAACACCATATTATCCCACCAGTCACAATTGTGACCGATCATAAAACACACTTTTTCATATATTTTTCCACTTTTTTTTTTTTTTTTTTTTTTCCCTTGGTTAGTTCAAAGGGCTATAAATGACATCTGATTTTAATATTTTCATGTCTTGGAAAAAATTGGGATTAAATGGTTTAAATCCTTTTTTTATATGGAACATTGCAGCAGACAAGCACAGACTGCTCTCATCACACTCATGAATAGAGTTTTATGTGGATATCAAAATGAGTCTGGTGCCGTCCAATCTGATAGAAGACACACATATTCAGGCACAAACTCATTTTCCCCACAAAATAAAAGTGATATAGTGAGCACGCTGCAGGACTGGCTAATCTACAAGCTCCACTGCTGAGCCTCAGAGTTTCTCTGTAAATATCACCGTGTTGTTTCAACAGATGTAATCGGCCTTTAGAGGGAGATCATCG